CTATGTACGCTGTCAGTATATTTTGAGAAGACACAAACATTATTTGTTTTCGACATGGAACTGTGAATATTTTGTAGCAGTTCATCTCAGTTGGGACAGTGTGCTAAATGTATTTTTTTTCACTCTCATTGCTGCATGATCTATTACAGAAACGAAAAACCAACAATTACTTTTTGAAAGTAAGAAGAGTACAGTTTTTTAAATTTAAAAACATATTGATTCCGTTATGATCATCACCACACCGTCATCTATATCATCATCATCATCGTCATCATTATCAGCATCATCGTCATCATCATCATCATCAGTAGTGTGATATTATATGCAGGAGTGATTGTGAATGTATGCCCAAGTAAGTGTGAAAGTGATTGAGATAATGAGTTTGTGAATGAATGGGTGAGTGAGTGAATGTGTAACTGGGTCAGTGAGTCAGTGAGTGAGTGAATGAGTAAGTGAATAAGTGAGGGAGGGAGGGAGGGAGGGGGGGGAGGGAGTAAGTAAGTAGGCGCACATGAGTGTATTGACAGAGGCCCAGAAGTAAAACATTATATATGTACATTTAAAGATGCGAAACATAACATTAAAGATCACACACCCAATATTATTAAAGGTATAGCTGTCGAAATAATTGCTCTGTATCCAAACAGATTTTGACATTTTTTATTTTATCTTATTTTCTTTATTTCTTCCACACTGATAAACAATAGAAAAACTGACATTGTAACAGTTTGAGGCTTCACCATCGCATTCAGAAGACCTGAGCTTGATCATCGTGTGGGGGAGAATTTTTCCGAAGTATCTCTGTTTGTTTGCTGGAAAGTTGTATCCCTTTTTCCTAAGGTTGGCCCTGGCAATCGAGGTCGAAACCCGCCTCGAAAGTGGGGTGTAAATTGTCTATTGGCGGGGGGGGGGGGGGGGGGGGGGGACACCGACATTAAAAAAAAAACTGATTAGAAAAGCAACCACAAAATAGTAATATCAGGGGTTGTATGGAGAAATATTAGATGCTGATTTCTCAATCTCCACCAATAGTAAAGTAATGAAACTGTACAGTATAACAGATTGGAATGAAATAATAACGACATATTAATATGTGTAATGCTATACATGTAGTTAATATTTATCCTCTAGATTGCGCTTGGGTGATTCTCATGTGGACAAAGATACGGAACAAAAGTAGAAGGTCATTCAAAGACCTTTGCCGGGGACTAAAAAAAAAGGCCCGTTGTAGGTTCGAACTCGGGTACTGTGACTGCTACAATTCCCACACAACATATTATTTGCCCTCGACACAAACCGAACTAACTGGATCCTGACTCCGGAGGTAGACTGGAGAACATTCATCTGACCCACGCTAATGTGTCAACATTACTTGCTACTCACGTTCTTCCTTTTGCATGCTGATTAATTTGATAACCCTTACACAGACGTGGGGAGAGAGACTGACAGTGCTCGCCGTGGCGTGAGATTAGGCAGGACAAGCACGACAACACACAGTAACTGCCACAGTAGTAAAAAAAGTAATTTATGTTTTCATTGCAATTCAGAACAGTTTTTAGAATTATCTAATGCCCGTGGTTTCTTACAGCATAGACTTTTTCAACGGCGAGGGAAACTGCGAGGGGTCTTTCTCCTCGGAAAGACAGAGGGTACATGGGGGGTTAAACCCCCGCCATTAATGTTTTAGACATACTACCCAACAGCAGCACGACAGACTCTAATTCTAAGGATTTACATCCCTTGAAAAGATCATTGCCAAATCTGCATTTAGTCATGCTAATTCGACAATGACCTAAGTTATTTTTGGCGCTTTGAACAAAGTAACAGAAACTGTTGCACTTATAAAGTAGACCGCACACTCTGTCTTTTAAACACGTTTTTGGCTTTATAATAATTCAAAGTTAAATAAAACTGTTGACAGAAGTCTCGGGAAATAATTAAATTATGTACATCTAGATGTCATTGCTCAGTTTGCCATAAAAATGACTTCAGCCATAATTATCGAATGAGCGTGACGATTTGTGTATGCAATATAATGAAAAAGTTTTTCTCTCCCAACAACACCAAGGTTATTTAGTCGGTCGACTGAATAGACGGATATTTGATATAACC